ACAAACATGCCTTTTTTTTAAATCACAAAGGTCCTACTTGCCTTGCTCTGTGCGGACCTCAAACCCGGGTCTCCGGCATGGGTGTTAGGCACTCTAACAAGGAGGCTAAAAACTAAAGCTTCTTGTATCACTCGCTAGAGTGCCTCTTAACATCAGGGAAGTTTTACTCACACAGAGACTACCCTACCCCACAGACCCCCCCATATCCCTCCCCCCCAAAACTCACTCCCATCCAGGTCATGGTAGCTACCAATGCAACCCCTCACCCAGGTCCTACTCTCATATGCACTCTGCAGTCCTCGAACCAGCATTGTAGGAGTCTGGCAATTTATTTCTTACCTTGAATTATTCTCCCAAAGAACACTATACATAAAGCTCTCTTTTTAATAATTTGGGCTTAAGTGAGTATATGTGGGTTATATTATATCCTGCCAGACTTCTTAGCAGATGTACAGGTCAAAACCCAGGTACCCATTGTCAGGGGTGAGTGATAATCGGTTCTGGTTTGTTCCACTCATTTTTCAAAGCAAACTATGCATCATTACATTTCATTACCTGCACTTTATTATGTACTATTATCAGGGCCAGAAAATGGTAGATGGGTAATAAAATGAAACCAGCTGTACAACCCACTCCCACCCTCGCATCCTACCTGAGAGACCACATCTCTGTTACAAATTAAAACTCTGTTTAGTCTGGGATGGCAGAGAAGCACACTGTTAGAAGAACTTGGCACTGTATTTGTGAAATTAAATATAATTTCTATATTCTCCATATGGAAGTTAATGTCAAGGGAACATCAGCTTGTGAGGCTAAAATTGTTGGTACAGTTTGGCAGGAGAATATAATAAACCATATTGTAAGTCAGTTGGTTTACTGTATGTCCACGTTCAGATGGAAATAAGCTAGCTGGGTGAGTTTGTTGTACTCCATGGGGACCAGCCAGGTATGAGTCCTGAAATGGTAAATTGGTCTGATGAGTTGTAATATGAGCTCTCAATCAGCAAGATAATGCTGGAGGGTTTGGCGTGTACTTGTAAATGGCTCACCAACGTGTGCGTACAAAAGTGCTAATTTTTAAAAAATATTTACACTGTCCTCCCTAGCCAGATTTGACACAGAAGTGAGGTTTATAAATTTAGCAAGGTGCTGCTAAGGGCTCCATACAATAGAAAGAGAAAATGACTGATAAGAAAGGCTATTTTTCTAAGTTTTAAAATATTATTCAAATTTATAGAATTCACAAACACCCTGCTAGCACAGTGGAAGTTAAACCCTCCATGTTAATGCTACTTTGCACTTATTTACTGGCTGTCATAATGCATTCCCTTCCATTTCTGCCTTATTAGTCTTTTGATATCTAATGGTTTAATCAAAGGACATTGACTAAGGGCTGGTTTGCTTTTTGGTTATGGACAGGTCTGTGTTTTTCCATAAATGAATGGTCAAGCAGGAGTCCAAGTCACTATTGATCGTAAAAACACAAATTATAGATTGAGAGGGGTTTGCATTTTGTGGGAAATGTAAAATTCACCTGGGGAAAAACAAACAGGAATTTAGATACATACAGCAGTTAAATGTAAAAGATTTTGCAGGGCAGCCAAACTTAGCTTAAATAAAACAGATGTGACAAATGTTATATTGATTTTCCTCCAGATATTTCTTTATATTTCAAATTAAAATAAAAAAACTGTTATCACACAGGCATGTATATATACATATATATATATATACTCGCCTAAATGATTATAGGAACCCCTGTTCAATTTATCATTAATGCAATTATCTAATCAACCAATCACATGGCAGTTGCTCCAATGCATTTAAGGGTGTGGTCCTGGTCAAGACAATCTCCTTAACTCCAAACTGAGAGTCAGAATGGGAAAGAAAGGTGATTTAAGCAATTTTGAGTGTGGCATGGTTGTTGGTGCCAGACTGGCCAGTTTCACAATCTGCTCAGTTACTGGGATTTTCACGCACAACAACAGATCTCAACCCAATAGAGCATCTTTGGTATGTGGTGGAACGGGAGCTTCGTGCCGTGGATGTGCATCACACAAATCTCCAACAACTACAAGATGCTGTCCTATCAATGTGGGCCAACATTTCTAAAGAATGTTTTCAGCACCTTGTTGAATCAATACCATGTAGAATTAAGGCAGTTCTGAAGGCGAAATGGGGTCAAACACAATATTAGTATGGTGTTCCTAATAATCCTTTAGGTGAGTGTGTATATATACAGTATATGTTGCTATCCTTTAAGTAAATAGCTGAATACAAGGTGAGTGCAATGTCAAAGCAATATATATATATATATATGAAGAGTTCAGATGCAAAAGCCTCTAAGTGCCATTTGAAATTTTCTTCTAGAATGATCATTTTTATCAAGCTTGTATATTTAAGTTCAGTGATTTCACTTAAATGGCAATGATAATTACATATTAATTGTTATTTAAGTGAAATTACTGAACTTAAATATACAAGTTTGATAAAAATCATCATTGAAGAAGAAAATTTCAAATGGCATTTAGAGGCTTTTGCATCTGAACTCTTCATATATATATATATATATATATATATATATATATATATATTGGTTTTCTTCAGGTCAACTAAGCTGTGTTTAGTTCTTCTTTTAAAAAAGTCTCAGATGTGAGTAGAAATTGCAGTCAATTTGGCATTATTTTGCATAGTCACTTTGACGCAGAAACACATTCTGATTTTATGTACTAAAGCAAAATGGAAAGTCTCGGCCAACATTTAAATGATCTTGGCAAACGGATTAGAGTAGAAACGCAATAATTATATAATTAGAAAGCTTTTTACCTAGAAGCAAAATGTGTTTCTGGGTCAGAATGACACAAAATATTGAAGCATTTAAATGCATATGCTAATCCATTTTATATATAAAAAAAGTTCCCACTTTTGCTGTTAAATTACTGTATATTTGATACATTTGTGAATTTTTTTGTAAATATAATGACCATTGACTGTTAGTAATAGTTGATATATATATGATTTATATTATATATTTAATATGATTTGTTAATTATACCATTCTCACTGCTGAAAAAACTCAATTCTCCGAGAGAGAACAGGTCAAGAGGTGATTCTCTTATTTCAGCAGGAGGTGAGAATGAATGGGCCAGGATCTCTGAGCCCCCAGAGTAGTGACACTGAGGAGGCCTGACAGACTGCTCCTCTGTCAGCAGATGGGCGACATCTATAATTCAGTCTGGAGACTGTTGCATGCTGGTTCATTTCATGTTCTATCACCACAGCTCTCCCACTGTCAGTGTAAGGAAACACAAGGGCCACATCTACCACCTTAGAAGTGACCTCGGAATCTGTATCACACATGCCTACCTGTCAGACATAAAAACTAAATGAGAAACAGTATAGCAGTATAGCAGTGGTTTGTGGTAGGCTTAAAAAAACATGTGTATATATATATATATATATATATATATATATTAAAAACAGTCGCAAGCATATTTGTGTAGCTTTATTTGTTCCTGCTAATTATCAATATCGTACATGTATATTAGTTTAGAAATTACTGTCCAAAATATACGGTAACATGAGTGATCTGAATGTGATGTATGACTATTAGTATTAATCGTCAATTTCTTGGCCACATTTTGGATTTGGGTGCAATTATACTATTAATTAACTATTAACTATGACTTTTGCATCAAACTCCTGATTACTGCTAATTAATAGTTAGTAAGTTATTTATTAAGTTTAGGTATTGTGTCGAATTAAGGAATGTAGAATATGGTCATGTAGAATAAGGCATTACTATGTGCTATAAATACTAATAAACAGCCAATATCTTAGTAAAATAACTAGCTATTAACCAACAAGTTGAGAATTGGACCCTAAACTAAAGTGTTACCAATTTCTTTTACAGACATTTTTTTTAATCCCCAAGTAAAACACTGCAGGTGTCATGACGGTCACTGGATCTTTAATGTACAGAGCTGAGTGGTCATTTAAAAAACAGCTCTCTTACAGATTACTGTGTCCATTTAATTTCCATTTGGATGTGACCGAAAGTAATGCAATCTAAGTGAGTTGTTTACTATGCCAAGAGTCTGTCTACCATTTTCTACTGTTTTAACTAATCTGGTTGCAAACATAATTTTTGACTGACAAGGTGTTAAGCTAATGACAGTGAAGAAGAGGAGTTGCCTCTTTCTTGGCTGTATTTCATGAATTAATGCCGGTTCCGTTCTGTTGATGATGAATTCTCAGTGTCGCATTTGGCCAGTGGTCCTGGCACTGTCCTAGATCCGGGCTTGAGGTTGACACGCATTGCATATGCAGACGGTGTGTGAGTGTGTGAAGGTCAAGGGGTGGCGGGAGTGACATCCTGTTTCATTTAATTCAGTTTCTTTGTGTACAGCCCCACTCCGAGGCTCTTTAACAATTCCGTCCACTTTCTAGGAGAAATGTGCATGTGTAGCAAGGGAGAATGAGAGGACAGTGAGCTGTCTTTCAGATTTGTATACTCCTTTAATCCAGAGGCGTTTGCTGACCCACCAAACCCCCACACATTCATACACAGACATGGGCTAATGCAATATTAACAGCCACTTTCTTTGACCGACCCAGAAAGGTCCTTTTCACAGTTCAGTCTTTTCTTCCACTTAATCCTTGTCTTTTATTTATTTCCAGTGAGCCCATGCTATGCAAATGTGTTTGAATGATTTAGATAATACTATGCAAAGTGAAAAATTAAAAATGCCCATATTTGTAAACAAAAACATTATTATTTTTATTTATTAAAATAATTATAAAAAAAATCCTGCAGTTTCAATTAATATATGCATATATACTGTCACATTTTCTAGGAATTTCTACAAGTGATTAAATCTAAATCACAATTAGCAACTTTAATGCATTATTAGGATTAAACTACATATCCCATAATCCCACGTTTTCTTTCAGGTCACATGATTGTAAGCAAGGAGCAGATGGTACAGAGTCATGTGATGTTGTTAGCCGGGGTTGAATCTGAGAGGCTCTCCTGCATCTGATTTGAGTGCTAAGGCTAAGTGCTCTCTCAAGAAAAAAAACAGGGTAATGTATGAGAATTAGCTTTGTTCAGTTTATTCTCTGGTTAAATGATTGCTCTTTTTTGCTGAGATTATGTCAGGTGGAGGTCATTGTTTAAGGATGGAGAGGAGGTAAGAGGAAGGGGGAGGGTAGGCCTGAAAGGATGCTCTGTTGTTACCGTGGCATTCAGAAAGAACAGTGTGTTTTGGGATGATTGCATAAATATGAACATAGTGTCCCAGCTGTTATGTGGGCTGAAGACTGTATTTATGAATTTTTTGTATTAGTCCTGAGTTGTGTTTTCTGGTTTATCATGGCTGGATTTGTTTTTGGAGAGCTGTTGTGTGTGTCTTGTCTTCTTTTGCTGGCCAGTCAAATTTGGTTGAATTTTTTGTTAACTGTTAAGCTGATCATTCTGTTAAATTCCACATAATAACACATTTTCCTTTTGGGTATCTTTTGTTTTGCAGTGTTGATCAAGTGAACTGAGCTTTGTTCACAATGCTTGTTGTGAACTTGCACATGATGATAAAATATGTTTATACTTCATTTTACACAATCACAGGGTTGTGTGTCTTTCAGAAATGAATCGAGAATTCCTTTTAAATAAAAAAAACTATATTACTGACTTTGGATCGAATTTGAATTTTAGCGTAAGGAAATTCAAAGTTTTGAAGTTAAAAGTTAATTTAACCTCATTTGATATTTAATTTCTATCCAGAAAATCCAAGTAAAGACAGGCTTTGAAATTTGGCTTGACATACCTTTAAAAAGCAGCAATGTTTGAAGGTTATAGGTATGTAGGTTTTACAACCCTGGCAAGTGTTTTGTCATTTACTCTATTATTGCTCATAATATAATGTTCTCTCTGCTGACACAAATGGGAAACTCATGGTTTCAGATCTGTTAAGAAGGAAGTCATAATTATTATGTTTTCTGCCTCTTTATCACAATAGCTTTTTATTTCTATAATTATTTTAATACAATTAAACCACAGCCCTTGATTCTATCACATTGTTTATTTATTTCACACTGATAAACAGTTTCATAGCAATTTCCAACATTTTGGGAGATATATGTTGCTTGCTCATGTGATGTTTATCTACCACAACCTGCCTATCACCAAATTATTTGGGGTGAAAATCATAAAATGTAGTTGCTGCTGACTGACAGTAAACTTCCTAAATGTATTTCTAAATGCAAAAAGCTTATGTGTCACTGCGTTGTTGAAAAGGATGAAAAGAACAAAATCAAAATAACAAAAACTTAGTTACTTCTCAAAAAACACAGACGGCTAATCACTAACATCTAATAATGGACAAAGCCTATAGGGCATCTGAAACTGAGGGCTGTACAGTATATACATAGAGAAACACTGGGGCTGTGTTCGAAATTATGCCCATACCCTCATTCAATATTCCCTGCATTACTCCTATAGTCCACTTAAAGGAGCAAATGAAAACAAGTGAGAAAATCGGACACTGAGTGTGCTGGAAGAGCTGCCGCTTTTGCATAGTTTGTGCTTGCTGTTTAACAATCATTTCAAAACATTGCAAACTGGCCGTTCCAATAATAATGAAAGAGATGTATCTTAAAATCTTTCATGGAAACGCCTGTATAAACGTTATTAAACTATTTAACAATCAATCAAAAAGGAATGTATACCTGTATGATATTATGCTTTTCACACATTATATCAGCAGTTTGGAAAATAGATGGATGGATAATTCAGCTCCGGGCGCCTTTGGTGATGACCAATAGATGCTAAATGCCAATAGCCAAGCCACTTTTATGGTGCATAAAACACAGGGTTGGCACAAACTAAACTGAAACATACCTGGCTGGCCACCTAAACTGGGGCTTCATAGACCTTCGAAACATCACAAGCTGACTTTGATATAGTGGTCAGAAGCTGAATTCGTACTAATCAGTTCACACATATGAAAAAGTTTGTAAAAACTGAAGTTTTATTGCAGTCAGACAAGGAAATGAAATGGCTGAGTAGGGTTGCAAACTCAGACCTCTTGTTTTCTGTTGCTGAATGTGTTTGTTTACAATTATACGAAATGAGAAATGATGAGAAATGATCTGGTGTCCACATCTAGACCACGGTCTGCTGATTGTTGACCTCTGTACTGACACTTCAGTAAATTTTAGTGTTTAAGCTTTCATATAGTACCTCAAAACCATGCCATGAGAGGTTTGATGAGATTTCAAACCTCCCCCTTTCAGATTGCTCCTACACCCCTTCTGATAAGACTAATTGCAAAATAAGTCAGTTTACCTCGCCATAGATCACATTTGTACAAGTAGGATGGATCACATCGCACAATCTCATTAATTAAAACTGGTCTTTTTGGTTCAAGTGAAAGATAAAACTCTAGAAGAGCAGCGCATTCTGGGAAATGAAATTAATTCGTATACCTGTCACGTTGCTCTCTTTCTCCACTTCACCTTATCAAGTAAACGGCTCTGGTCTTGCTGTCAGGCCAAGACAGTTCACAAAGTCCTACATGGGTTTTAAAGCAAACCTTTAGGCCCCTTTTAGCTGCCAGACATCTCTTTCTGACTTCAATTTTAAGAAACTGATGAAATAGCAAGAACCCATGTTCCCTACACTAGTGTGATTAAAATGCAATTACATCATGGCCCACATCTCAGGACCACTTTCATGATTACACTCGCTTTTGATTAGGTTGAGAAAGCAAGTTGACACAATGGCATCATAATTAAGAAGGCAATTGTCACATCTCGAAAAATGGTGCATCGTTGGACATAATTTCCCTGCCAATCTAAAGATTATGTTGTGCTTGTGACTCGGGTGAGATTGGGTTGTAATTACTTCATTGCAAAAGTAAGTAACTCGAAATCTGCGTAATTGGACTGCATAGCAGCCGGTTGGGAAAGAATCAGGCTGTGATTTAATATATGTACCCCCACAGACAAGAGGTTTCACCCAACAAGATAACAAGCCCTGTGCTTTGGAGATGTGTGAGTAATGAGTGGACAGGGGTTAGATCTAATTAAACTAATAATTATTGTAATAAAAAGTATTTAAAGATAAGGTATGAGACACAGGGGGAACTGGTCTGGTCCATGAGGCCAAGTCATTTTAGCTTTAACATTTTTCACTTATGTAGCCAGACAATTCAAAACCAGTCCGTATCTGGTGTGACCATTTGCCTCACACAGTGCAACACATCTTCTTCGCATAGAGTTGATCAGGTTGTTGATTGTGGCCTGTGAAATGTTGATCCACTCATCTTCAATGGCTGTGCAAAGTTGCTGGATATTGGCAGGACCTGGAACATGCTGTCATATGCTGTATCCAGAGCATCCCAAACATGCTCAATGGGTGACATGTTCAGTGATATGCTGGCCATGCAAGAACTGGGATGTTTTCAGCTTCCAGGAATTGTGTACGGATCCATGCAACATGGGACTGTGCATTATCATGCTGTGCATTATCATACACGGTGTCTGCCATCTGCCCTGTACAGTTAAAATCCGGATTCATCCGTGAAGAAAACACCTCTCTAAAGTGCCAGACGCCGCTGAATGTGAGCATTTGCCCACTCAGGTCGGTTAAGATGATGAACAGCAATCAGGTCGAGACCCCGATGAGGACGACGAGCATGCAGATGAGCTTCCCTGAGACAGTTTATGCAGAAATTCTTTGGTTATGCGAACTGATTATTGCAGTAGCTGTGCGGGTGGCTGGTCTCAGACGATCTTGGAGGTGAAGATGTTGGATGTGGAGGTTCTGGGCTGGTGTTGGTTACACATGGTCTGCGGTTGTGAGGCTGGTTGGATGTACCATAGATATAAAGGCTAGATGGCGGAGTATTTATCGTCATCACCGGCGGCCATCTTGTCACAGACAGGCTTTCTGGTGGGCTCTGTGGTATCTGATGTAAGAAATACTCTTATCTCGTTGAAATCTTGATGGATTTACAAACGGTTTGGTTTCTTACAAACGTTATTAACGTGGCTATAATTCTGGATGATTATTTATTTATACACTTATTATTTACAAGAATGCAGTATCATAACTACATCTCTGCCGTTTATAACAAACCAGACCGTTTGAAAATCGGTATAAAATTGTGCAAGTTACGGTGACTTAAAAAGTACATGCACCATTAAAACAATGTTACCAGAGCGAGCTGCCTGTGACAAGATGGCCGCCAGTTGCTGACGTCGACCTCCATTAGCTAGCATTTATATAGATATCTATGGGATGTATTGCCAAAATTTCTGGAAGATGGCAAGTAGTTTCAGAGTGTATAAGGAGACATTTTTTTAGATAGCACTTTTTATCCTGAATATTTTTTTCAAAGAGTCTCTAAATTGGTGGACCTTTTTCTTTAAGATTCAGTGTATTTCTTACCTGGATTTTGGCTATATATGGCTTAATGAATTAGTTGAATAAAGTTGATGTTTGAAGTTCAAATGGCTTCAGTGGAAGCATATATCATTAGTTCCCAATCATTTAGCTCATGGTAGGTTTATCTTCTAAAGCTTTGTACCAAAAATGTGAAATAAATTTTTTTATGGAAGAAATAAATCAGCTTTTTCCCTCTGCAAAACAATATATTTATTGGATATTTGTTTATTCTAGATACTACAGATTGTTCCATTAGATGAAATGTCATTTCAGATTTAGCTACTGTTCAAAAAAATCACATGAAATGGGATGAAATTTTAAAAAATGAAATTTTTTTAATTGAAAAAAATGAAAAAGTTTTAAGCTACATCCATATGTGGTTTGAAGTGGTTGAAGCTTCCTACGGTTCTGCCGCTGCTTCAGAAGAAGTAGTTGTCCAGTGCAGGGGCTATGCTTTGTTGTAAAATTTAAATAAGACAACATCTCTATTGCAAACCCCTCCATGTTGCGGCTGTTGTTGTTTTTGCCATAGAAACCAATGCAGATATTCCGGGGGAAAAAAACGAGCCACATGGACACACACATTGGATTTGAGAAGTCGTGATACGCAATGTGGACTTCAATAATTTTAGATCAG